ATGGCGCTCAGAGTTCCCATATCTCAACAGAGAGACCACAGACAAGGACTCTCTGGTGCCTCAGGTCAGGGTAAAATAGACTCGGGCAGCAAGAAAACACGTTATTTCCAGCTCCAGGCTTGCTTGTCACAGCCTGAAGGGTGGCAACTGTGCTTGGGTCTGAGCACCTGGGGGGTTGAGGCAGAAGGATTGCTGTGAGTTAGAAGCCAACCCGGGTCACCTAGTGAGACTCTGTTGCAATAGTGATGACAATAATTAACATTATTTAATCCCATTAATAAATTATTACTTAATCCTAGTACCCTGGAGGCAGAGGCAGGTGAGTTCGAGGCCACCCTGGTCTACATGAGACACTGCCTCAAAACAAACTGAAAAGTAACAAAACCCTAAACAAACAAAAGAGAGAGCAAGTGTGTTGCTCCCCAACTTCCTCACCCACCCCAACATAGGCCAGAGAAGTCATTGACCCCACAGTACTGATAAGGAAACTGAGGCCCTCCTGGGCTCTCACCCTCCAGGGGACTCTGTAGAGGCCCCGCCGCACAGGCCCCGCCGCACAGGCCCCTCCGCACAGGCCCCGCCGCACAGGCGCCAGTTGCTGCGGGGAAGAAGTGCCTGCAGCTGTGACCTCCAGCTTGAGTTTCCAAACCGGGAGGTTTTTCTTTATTTATTCATTTTTGGCTCAGTGGATGGATCCAGTCTCTGACCCTGGGTACCACTGAGGCTGGGTCACAGCCCCTAAGCCATCAAGGCCTCTGCAACCCTGGGGCCTTTGGCTGTGGCCTCCGTGAGGGTCCATGCCCATCTACGCCCAGGATGTCCCTTTGGCAGGACTTGATTAGGTGGTGTGTGTGTGTTTAGACTGCTTCTGAATGTCCCTAAAATTATTTTATTATTTAAGATATTTATATGTTTTGTGGGGGATGGGGACTGTATGTGTCTTGGTGCTCTTGTGCAGGTCAGAGGACAGCTTGTGGGACCCAGTTCCTTCCTTCCATCATGGGGTGTCCCAGGGATCGAACTCAGGTCATCAGGCTTGGCTGCTGAGCCATTTCACCTGCCCCTTCCTGCCCCTTGTTGATAGGAAGCTCTCAGAGCATGCAGTTGTCCTGGGATTGCAGAGACCCAAAGCCCCAGCCAGGTCAACCCCAGGGCCACTCTCGGCAAGCTCACACCTTCATCCAACAAGGCAGGGGGATTGGGAGTTCCAGGTCAGCCTCAGTTACACAGCGAAACTCTGTCTCAAGTAGGAAAAAATAGAATAAAAAGAAAGTCTCACGTTCATCTGAAATGGAGCTGGCTGGAAACCTGCATTTTGTGGGGTTTTACATTTCAGTGAGAAAGCCAAGGCCCAGAGAGGCCCAGGAACTGCCCTTGGTGGCACAGCCAGATGGCAGAGCACAATCAGCACTGGCATCTGCTGGCATTGCCACACTCCTGTGGCCCAGTCTTCACCACAATCTCCATTGCCACTGTCACTTCATACTTGGCAAACTTTGTCCCCACGGGGGCAGCTGTGAGTTCAAGGTGGGTATGGCTCCTGCCGGACAAGGCTCCTGCTAAGCAAGGATGATGGCAGGAGCTCTGAATTCGGACACTTTTGATGTCTCTCAGGCAGACCAACAAGTTCCCACATTGGCCCCAGCGCCCAGTTGTCCACAGGCTAAGGCAGGAGAATAATCTTGAGCTCTAGGCAAACTTACTGCCTCATCAAATAAACAAAAATAGCTAATTATGTGGAGACCTGTGTAGCCAGTGAGTGTGTACAGTACCCAGCCAGGTGGACAGGTTCGAAAAATGTGATCCCGTTGTCTGTCCTTTCTCTGTTGTGCTGGCTGGCAGGATGGAGGAACAGACCCATACAAGACACAAACACCCTGAGACTGTGGGGTCAGAGTCAGGCTGGACAAACGTGGGGCTGAGGAAAGGCAGGGAGGAAGACAAGCCCAGCATAGTCAAGGGTATAGGTGGGGTTTTGAAGAGTTGCCAGCAAGAATTAGACATCCTGCCTGGCAATGGCGGCACATGCCTTTAATCCCAACACTCAGGAGGCAGATGCAGGCGATCTGTGAGTTTGAGGCCAGCCTGGTCTACAGAGTGAGTTCCAGGACATCCAGGGCTACACTAAGAGAAACCTTGTCTCAAAAATCAAAAATAAATGTATAAATAAATAATTTTTAAAAAATAAAATAAAGCCGGGCGGCGGTGACGCACGCCTTTAATCCCAGCACTCGGGAGGCAGATGCAGGTGATCTGTGAGTTCAAGGCCAGCCTGGTCTACAAGAGCGAGTTCCAGGACAGGCTCCAAAGCTACAGAGAAACCCTGTCTCGAAAAAACCAAAATAAATAAATAAATAAACTAAAATAAAAAATAAGAAAAGAAAAGAAAAAAGAGGAATGCCCTGAGTGTGATCAAACCGGATCTGGGGTCTGCTGTTGCACCAGAACCCAATGGGGCCACAGGCCAAGGACAGCGTTGTGCCCTGTGCAGCCCCTGCAGGGAGCAGCTTGTGCTTGGGAGGGTACTCTGTCGTTCCTCAGGCAGTTCTGATCCTGCCGGCCCCCTTCCGGTCCCACCCCACCTGGTCCAGCCCTGGCCACGGTCACAGTGCCCAGCGGAGCCCGCAGTCCACAGTGGCCCACCCGCTTGTTCTGGGGAGGACAGTGTTCCAGAGCTGACTGCTTTTCTCACCCTGGGCCAAAGGTTCACAGCTAAGGAAACATCAGCTTTTCAGGGCCTGCAGCTCCATCCCTGGGACCACCTTCCTTCAGTCCCAGTCCCTTTCACCACCGCGACTGTCCCCAGCATCTTTGACTGATGTCTGCCATGTGACTACACAAGCAGGCCTGTGGTTGGAACAGTCTTTCCCGGCAAACTCCTCTTCATCCTTCCAAACTCCAACTCCAGTGTCTTCTCTTTCTAGGACCCTCCGGACATAGCTCCTCCCATGCTCCACCTTGGTTTTGTATGGCGGGGACTCTGCCCCCATCCAGGTGTCCCTGAGATTCTGCCCTATCATCTTAGTCACTGTGGCAAATGGGCTTCGATGCCCTGATTACCGCTGCTGAGCCCCCAGTCTAATTGGCTCGGTGGGGCCGCCAAAAGCCAATCCATGGTTCTGCCTGACTGTGATCAAGGGGAGCCTGGAAGTGGGGCGGGGCTGACTGGGAGGGGGCGGACCACACAGGGCTTTGTGTGCACCCTGACTGTGAGGAGCCCTTGACAGACAGATTCCCTGCAGGGGGATTGCTCTCTTTAGGCCCTTCTCCTACCCTGACTGTCTTTCCATCCCCCACTGGCCTCGGCTGGCACCACCCACCAGGCAAGTCACCGCTTCCTCCTCAGCTTTTCCGGGACTTTCCTCAATATCACAAACAAGGCGGAGGGATCAGGGCTGGGGCGCAGAGGGCAGAGCGCTCTGGTAAAGCATCCAGAAACACACACACCACGCACGCTTGTCGTGACAGAGGTAGGCAGGGGGATCAGGAGTTCAAGGCCAGCCTGGGCTACCTGAGAGTGTCTCAAAAGCAAACAAAAATAAAAACAAACGGGGTCTGGAGGCCAAGTAGCCAGAGAAGCTGGCGAAGCACGCTCAAAGGTCCTGGGGTTGGGACCCACTCTGCTTCCTCAGGAAGATTCGGAGCTGGGAGGGGACCCTGGAGCCTGCGCTGGCGGAAGGTGGGTACAGGGTGTTCTGTAATCGGAGCCCAGTAGAACAACAGCCCCTTCCCCGGCACCCCAGGGCCCCCATGCTCCGGAGGACAGAATGTGCCCTGGGAGACACAGCGAGACTGCGAGGGCGGCCGGGACCGTGGGTAGATTCTTGAACAGCCGCCCGGTAGGGACAGCTGCCAGCTTCAGAACAAGTGTCTGTGCCTTTGCGTGCCTGTCACGCTGGGGTTCAGAGAGAGAAAGGGGTATCTGGAGCTTGACACTGAGCCCTGATCAATCAGATTCAAGGGGGTCCCGGAAGCAGGTGCAGGGAGGTGACCCCGGAGTCCTGCGTCCTGACTTGAGGCCTTGAGCTGAGAAAACTGCTGCGGACCCAGCAGAGGAGGAGGGGCCTGAGTAGCACGGCCCCGCCCCTCAGTCCAGGGACCTCGAAGCCAGCTCCTCCCTGCTCCTCTCTCACCTTACCCGGAAAACCCGTAAGAATCAGGTTCCTCAGCTGCCTGCTCAACTGTCCCTGTCAGCTGTTGGCCCGAGGAACTGCTGTCCCCGTGTCCGCTCCCGGGGCAAACTGTATGGTTCAGAAGCGAAGCTAGAAGCGGAATCCTAACTTCACGTGATGGGGACTCCTCCTCGGCTACACACCTGGGTTTGGGGGTCTCCCTAACCACGCCCTAGACACCCAGAACCTCCGCGGCTGTCCTGGGTTCTGGGACATCTGTTATGACCCCAGGACCCCACCTCACAGGGCCCAGCACTCACCTGTCTCTGTTCCCAGTGATAGGGTTAAATAATAACGAATTAATGGAATCCATTATCAATGTTATTATTGCTACAGTCTCACTAGGTAGCCTCCTGCCTCAACCTCCTGAGGGCTCAACCTGCTTCTAGCTGTCTGTATTCACAGGCTGTGTGGTAGCACTGGGGCGATCACATGCAGAAACCACACCTAGGGCTCGAGGCCCCTGCCCCACCTTCATGAGGACTGATACACACAAAACAACAAATACACAAATACATCTTTTTTTTTTTTTTGACAGGATTTCTCTGTGTAGCCCTGGCTGTCCTGGAACTAGCTCTGTAGAGCAGGCTAGCCTCGAACTCATGGAGATCCGCCTGTTCTGCCTCTGAGTGCTGGGATTTAAAGGCATGCACCACCACCACGACGCCAAATAAATCTTAAAAAACAAAACAAGAAAAACACATAGCAGACAGACTGGTGACCAGAGGCAGGAGGGTGTGTGAGGAGGGCATGGGCCCCAGTTAAGTCCCTGGAGGGAATCAGAGCTTTACTGGCCTCCAGGGGCCATGGATGAATGAGGTGTCGACGCAGTCTTTCCCGTTTTTATTTATTCATTTTTAATGTACAAAGGGTGATGAGTTCTTCAGACGTGGGCATGGCAAGTCCCTGGCAGGGCTGTGAAGAAGGGGGCTTTCCCAGTTGCTCCTAGACAGCTGTTGCCCCTTTGGTGTCCTGCCAGGCTGCTGTGTCCTTGTCTGGATTCTACCCTGAGCAAGGTCTGAGCTTCTTGTGGCAGATCACACGGGCGGCTCTGGACTCACCTGGGCCACCAGTCCTCAAAAACTGGCAACCCTGGACCCTCAAGTCCCACAGAGCCTCAATGACTGCCCCTTACATGTCTGCCCCTGGGCCCTCTGTCCTGCTCACCTTACAGTGTGGCCATATTTAAGACGCCTGCATACCTGGGCTCCTGCCCCTAGGTTGCAGACGTGGGACTATGAGCTCAGACCATCTCCTCTGTCTGCGTGCTGAGCTCCTCAATGCCACAGCCTCGCTGAAACTCCCTCTGCCGGCCTTTGGCCTTCCGTCTGGTTCTGGCTTCTCCCAGATTCATCTCTCCCAGACTGTAACCCTCTAGGGATCTAGCACTGGTCAAACACAGAGAACTGGAAGCCTCAGGAGGACACTAGTCCACAGAAGTCATGTGCTGCTCCTCAGTCCTGTGCGATGGCAGAAGACACTCGGCCTCCTGTTTTCTCAAAGCAGACAGCTGGACTGCAGTGGCCAGAGAAATGTGAACCTTGTACCGAGGTGTCCACTCACACATCAGCAGGTCATGCAGCGTGGCCTCACAGCCTCTGAGGGTGGGTTAGGATCCTCCTGACAGACAGAGTTCCAGTGAGTCGCCTTGTCCACCCTGCCAGCCCCAAGCTCAGGGAATAGGCTGTCAGGGGTCACCAGGAGGGTGAGGCCTGATTATATGCACAAGAGTTTATTTTCTCTATGTAGCCCAGGCTGGCCAGTATCTTGTGTTCCTCCTGCCTCAGCCTCCCAAGGGCTGGGTGTAAGAAGCCCACGTGACTCACCAAGCCCCCCACCCCCTGTGGAAGCTAGAAAGGGCACAAGCAGCGTACCTCAGAGTACAGTGGAGGCGGGCGGTAGCGGAACTCATGGAGACAGGCAAAATAGGGCCCTTCCAGGGTCACACCCGGGTCCCGCAGCAGGGGAAAGGGCCCCAGTGAGGCAGTTGGCAGCGGGCTGTCCCTCACCACCTCTGAGTACTCAGGAGGAGCTGGAAGGGAGAGATGAGATGCGGAGGGAGGCTCTGAGACCGGGCTTCTGGAGGACCCAAGGCCGTGACAGGATTATGATCAAGCCTTTTCCCCCTAGGGACAGTTGCCCGGGCTAACCTCCAACTGTAGCAATCCTCCTGCCTCAACTGGTTTGGTTTTGTTTATTTGAGAAAGGATCTCAGTGTAGAGCACTTTGCTCTGGAGCGCACAGCGACAGGTCCCCCTGTGTGTGCCTCTGTTGCTGCATACACACATGCCTAAAGGTGTGTGTCACCATGCCCTGCTGGGTCTCCTATAATCCTGGTTAGGTTTTAAATTATTAAGTAGTGGAGGCAGGCCTTGAATCATCCGCCAGTCCTCGGTGTGCAGGGATGATGGGTGCTGGGATTAGACCCTGCTTGCCTAGAGACCCCTGAACTGGAGGGTGGGACCGGGCCATGGCTCTGCCTGCCCGCATCCTTGGTTGTTGACTGAGCTCACCCTCTGGCGCCTCCAACTGGGTGCACAGGCCCCAGTTTTGCAGGAAGCTGGCACGGCTGCCTACGCTGGCTGATCGACTGCCCAGGGGGTGCAAGGGGACCGTGCCGATGACCAGCGGCAGCTCCAGCAGCAGCTTCGAGGAGCCTGGGATGTCCACGCAGACCTGAAGGGAACAGCGGCAATGTGGACAGTTGCCTCACCTGTGCCCTCCACCCTGGCCCGAATAACAGGGTGGAGGGAAGCTTGCTGGGTACCTTGAGCGAATAGTCCACACTGAGCACGCAGCAGTGCAGGATGGACGGGCCCACTGGGGGGATGCGCAGCGCGCGACCGGGCCACAGCGCACGGCGACCAGGGCCCACGGGCTCCCCATCTACACTGGCCACGACAGCGCGCTTCTGCTTGCGTGCACCTCGGGCCATGAAGGTCTGTGTCTGTACCAGGGCGGCGCGGGTCTGCACAGGTCTCGTGGAGCCATTGTCAATCTCCGCGAAGATAGGGATGACCTCGCCTACAGCACAGAGCAGCCTGCCTCAGTTTCCCCATTGCTAACTCTTCCTGCTCCAGCCGCATCCCTTCCCACTTGTTACCCGGAGTGTAGCCCTTGCGGTCGATCTTGGCTGAGAGAGTCACGAGTCCATGGGTGCAGTACCAGGATCGAGCCACCTTCTCCCGGGCTCCAGCCTGCGGTTCCTGTGGGGACACTAAGGGTCACTTCAGGCATCTGGACACTTGGAGCTTATATGTTAGAGGGACCTTAGTTTCAGGAAGAAGATGGGACAGGGTGATTGGTGCCTGTTTTAGGCCAGCCACCCCTACAAAATGTGACCTTGTCTAAAGAAACCAAAAGCTGAATAAAAAATTAAAACCAAGAATAGGTGTGGGGTGCACACCTTTAATCCCAGCAGACAGATCTCTGTTACTTTGAGGACAGAGACCAGTCAGGGTCACACACACAGAGAAACCTTTGTAAAATTTTAAAAAGAACAAGAAAGAAACAAATAAATAAATCTCAAAACCAGTAAAACAAAAAAGTGCAAGCCCTATTGTGCCCTGTTTCCCAAGCGGGGCATCTGAGACTGAGGTAGGGTAAGACACTTGCCCAGAGAGAGCCACACAAGTGGGTGCCTTCAGGATTTTCACCCAGCACTAACTTCTGGCTCCTCTGTTTCAGAGACCGCCTATAACCCCCAACTCCAGAAGACTTCGAGAGGCCAGGTCCGGCCCCACCTTGCCCCCCGCGGGGCAGCCACCTACCAGCAGGGCAGGTGTGTTTATATCCACGGGTTCAATGACAGTGAACACCTTCCGGGCGCGGCGTGCGGGAACCCAGGGCCGATGCAGGGTGGCTTTGATGGAATAGCGGACGCTGCCGTGTTTGCCCTCGAAGGATGTCACTAGGGAGCTGGGGTGGCGAGAGCAGGTTCAGGGTAGGAGACAGAGGCATGCAAGTGAAGTCCCGAGGAGTTAGCGGTTGGGAGAGCGCAGATGCCCAGGGGTGGGCGACCACGGGGCTTACATAGGCAGCTGGAAGCTGAAGGGAAACTCGTGACGTCCGGCGGGCAGAGTGGCAATGTTCCCCGAGTCTAGGAGCAAGACACTGGACTTAGAGGACGCGGGATTGGGGATCGCCTGCTCGGGGTCTCGGGGGTCCCCAGCCTGTACCTGGCGCGAGCAGCGTGGCGCGGTGGTTCACGACTTCCACGCGCTCGCTGTAGCTCTGCGTGTACGCGGTGCTGGAGCCCGCGCTGCGCGACTCGGTCCAGTGTGCGCGCGCACGGCCCCGAGCGCGCAGACTGAGCGCGCCCACGCGCGCCGCCCCCT